TAAGTCACGGCAGCCAAGTTCAATGAGATTCACCAAGGATCCAGTGTCCCCTTGCCATCAGGTGAGTGTCCCAAATATATGTAGCCCCATGAGTAAGAGGGGGTAAACCTTGAATTCAGATTCAACAACAAATATGCATTCTGCAGTAGAATGTCTCAAGCCCTATTTTCAGAACTGGTCACTGAATAACATGGAAAAAAAAATCAGTATCTTTACAGAATCATGTTCTGAAAGGAACCAGGCAGAAAACAAAACTAACATAAAATAATGGTATGATGAAAGATGGGGGTGCCATGCAGAAAAATCAAGTAGAAAAGGGGGTGTGGGAGGAAGTACAAATTTAAATAGGGTACAATTTTTAAAAGGCCAAGGAAGGGACTTTGAGAGGGTGACATGTGACTCAACACTTAAAAGTGAGAATAAACACAGAAAACATAATTTTAATTGAGTTTATACTGAACAAACTACAGTTACATTTCTCTGATCAAGCTGCCATCTAGCTGCAAGGCCCACTGGGTTTAAATACGGTATCAAGCCTTATCAGAGAAAATGAAGAACATGACATATTAGCACAAATTTTCCATTTGTGGTCTGTGAAACGTACTCACCACACATAAAAAGAGTAAATAAACTTGTTTTCTTTATTCCTTCCTAATCACAGTGCCTCATCATTTCAGAAGAAAAAAAAATCCAACTGTATTTGTGACAGTGTTTCTCACTTAGGTAAATATTACAGAGGCTGAATTTTGTACATGTGCTTGTGTCTATACATGTGGTTCCGCACACTCAGCATCATCTCAGCATTCATTCCAGAAAGTCATTTTAAAGGTATATATTGGGTTGTCAAAAAAGTCATGATGCATTTTTGCAACAAAAAAACATAGAAAAATACATCATGACTTTTCTGACAACCGAATATATTCATGTATGTATCATTCTGAGCCCTTCATCCGCCCCATTCTGCCTGAGCAATTTCGCTGACCCCCTCACTCCCCATCACTACCAGTGGCCCCACAGCACCAGGGTAAGAAGGTGGGGCTGGGGGGAGGGAATGCAGCAGTTTTAGAAGCCTGTCCCATGATTCTAAAATGCTTTTTCATAACTTAACACTAACACTTCTCAGTGAAATGTACAGGCAACCAGTTTCTGACCATGTTCTGTGTTGATTTAATAATAGGTAGGTGTTAAAGACAGACATTTTCTAGTGTTAACACATCCTTTCATTACTGGCATAAACTTAGCTTGTGCATAATATACTTTCTTAATAAAGTGCTGGGTTGAGTTTGCTAATATTTTCCTTAGCGTTTTTGCATCTATGCCCATGAGTGAGGTTAGACTGTAATTTTCCTTTTTCTTACTGCCCCGATCTGAGCTTTGTATCAACCGTATATTGTTCTCCAAAAATAAGCTGTCAAGTGCTGTTGCCTTTTCATTTGAGATTATCGTTCTTAAGCATTTGGTAGAAATCAATAGAAAAATTGTTGGGTGTGTGTGTGTGTATAGATTTTAAATTATTATTTCAATTCCTTTAATAGTTATAGCTGTATTAACATTTTCTTTCTTCTTGGGTCATTTTAATATTGTTCTATCCACACAATCATCCATATCATTTAACTGTAGAAAATTTTGGCATAAATGTATTGCATTTTGCTGTCTCCCCTGAAAATATTCCTAAAATTGCTGAAGTAAATCTTTCTTTCTTCATCAATCTTTTCAGAAGTTTTTTTCCTCTTTAGTAAAACATGCTTGCTCCAAGTATTGATTTATATATTTAATCCGCATGTTTTGATATGAAGTCTTTTCCTTTTCCATTCTTGTGTTTTTAAATTTTCATGATGATACATTTGTTCCATAAGCTATTTAGAACTATGTTCTATAATTTCTGAATATGTCATAGCTTTGTATGATTTTTTGGTCATTGCTTTCATTTCTTCTGATTCAGTGAATATGATCTTTATGACATCAATGTCCTCATGTTGTAAGAATGTTAAATTTTACAGAAGTTCCACGCATGCAGGGTCCTATATATGCCAACCTTTTCATTTGTAGGGGTTTAAAAAGGACAGCAACTTGTCTGTTCCCCTTCCCCGATTCCCCAATAAAAAAATCTTTAAAAAAAATGTTTGTAAAATCACTCCAACCTTTTAGGCTTGTGCTGATCTGTATCCATATCAATATTTGTTATTATTAATTCCTTAATTTTTCCAATAAAGAATAAAATGGCATCTCATGGCAAATTTAGATATAGTATAGACTGTTGGCAGGTGTAAGTACAGTTTTCATTTAACCATCTCACTTTTTCCATTTCCTGATCTATTCTCAAATAAAATGAATAGTTACTTAGCAACAAAAAGAAAAAGTCTCAGTGAAAATAATAATAATAATACAGAGTCCTTAATTCCTCAATAAAACTAACTTACTGCAAACTCTGTGCCCTATCTGTTTATCTATCACAGATTTACAGATCAGACTTGAGATGATTGACACAGAGACATTAATTAAACTATTAGTTTCAACAACCACAACAAAAAAGAAGCCAGACTTTTTGTGACAAGAGATATTCTGTTTGAGATGATTGTTTTGACAGTAAAAATTGGCTTGACCAATTAGGTTTTATGGCAGATAAATTCCATATATCGAATAAGCTAAATTTCGACCCAATAATTTTTTGTGTGTGTTTTTTTTTTAAATAATTTATTTTTTAGAGCAGTTTTAGACTGCCAGCACAATTGCTAGAAGGTCCAGAGGCATCTCATATACCTCCTGCCCCCACATATACACAGCTTCTCCCACTATCAACATTCCTACCAGAGTGGTATATTTTTTACAACTGATGAACCCACACTGACACATACTATCATCTAACACCCATACTTTTCTTGAGTGTTCACTCTTGGTGTTGTGTATTGCATGAGTTTGGACAAAGGTATAATGGTATGCATCAACCATTATAGTGTCATCCAGAGTATTTTCACTATGCTAAAAATCCTCTGTTCTCTGCCCATTCATCCCTCTCTTCCCTCAACCCTTGGCAACCATTGATCCTTTTACTGTCTCCATAATTTTGCCTATTCTAGAATCTCATGTATTTGGACTCATAGAGTACATAGCCTTTTCAGATTGACTTCTTTGTCCCCAGATTTTGAAACACACACACACACACACACACACACACACACACACACACACACACACACACGCACGCGCACGCGCGCGCACACACACACACACACAGAGCACATGATAAAAATACTTTATTAAATATATTATGCTGGCAAAGGTAATTTGAAACTATCTTTTCTATCTTCTTATCCCCGTGCACATCATGTTAAGTAAAGTACCTTTAAGTAAAAGAGTAACAGCTATAGCTACTAGTTGGGGTTTTTTTAGCTTTACCAATGCCTTTGTGATATGCTTTCCAGTAGACTGAGAGAGTAAGTGACTTTAGTGAGAGGATAATGAATTCTTTTTCAAATAAGGTAGATTCCAATTTTCACTTTGAAAAAACTAACAAGGACACAACTGAATTGTCACATGATTGACATTAGACATGATTTTTGATGATGAACCACTATGAAGTTTTAGTTCAATGGACTGAATGACTTTTTTTAACTACAAAATTATTTATGTGAACCAAGAATGTAACTGACCCTGCAACTTGACCCTTTTTATTAATAAAAATATCTATACATGGATATATAATTGGAAAAATAACTGGATCCATTTCTTTATGAGCTATTTCCAATAATATCTTACTTTTTATATTGATTTTTATCAAAAATTATGTTGCTTTGAATACTTGTATACCACAAATAATTATAATAATTCAGAAGAAAAATTTTAACACATAATGACTATGTTCACACAAAACAAATAATTTTAAAAAAATAAAAATTCAATTTAGCTATATACACTGGGTTATAAAGAAGTATAATAGGGTGATCAATCAAAATTGTTTTAATAGGATAATACTATGTAGAATAAATGGATTGGAAATACAATTCAAAGAGAAGAAATGATGTAAAATTCTCTATTATTAACAAGTTTACATGGAGATTTTAAATAGATAATGGTACATATCTAATTGTGTGTATCTCCTTTTATTAGATATGCTAAAAAATGACACAAAAGTGCCATTTCAAAATATAACTATGTGAAATATGCCATAAAACAGCCTCCTTTGAAACTATTTAAACTTAAAAAAATAGAAGCTAAAAATATAAAAGGTATATTTTTTACAATTTTTTTTTTTAGTGGAGCGCATGAGTAAAATTCTTTATTGAACTAGAGGACGTGTGTGAATTTGCATTTGTATAGCAAGTGCACTATTACTACTTAACACATTTCCAGGCCTGCGATTGACAATGCATGTGACTCAGAAAAGTGGCCTGAATATTTAAAGAAAAAACAGTAAGATGAAACAGCTATTGTTTATTAAGGACTTACTCATTTAACACCTAAAACTTCTCTATGAAATAGGTGTTATTGATACCTGTCAGCAGATGATAAAGCTTAGGTTCTGAGAAATTAAGGGGCTCACAGACAGAGGTGACCCTGTTTACACAGCAGACATAACACTCCAACAGCATTCACAGCCTCAGTGTTCTCTCTTAAAATGGGGGTAATAATACCAACCTCATAGCTATTCCTAAAGTACACTTTGTGTGTAAGAGCAAATAAAATTATAAATTTTTTTGGTAGAAGGTGGAAAACCATACTCAGTCAGTGGAAACACGGACACGTGTTCACCACACATACACAAAGAGAAGGAAAAGAACACGCTTTTCATAACCTACTCCCAACTATTTTCTCTGTTTCGTGTCCTCTCTGTCAATGTGACAGAGGCTCTTGTCACACTACAGACTTGATGTAGCCCTAATGTGACATAGCAAGTTTAAATTCTGAATCTGAATTTTATAAAGTAAGTGTCTCAGTCACGAGTTATCTGGGTGCTCAAATTCATGCATGGACCACTGAATATTGTAGGACGTGCAACTTACTTCTTGGGTAGCTTCATCTTTTTCACCTTTTCTTCAGCATGTTCATCTGATATGCCCACGTGACATCCTAACGCCAGCAAAGTCCTGGAAAACAGAACCAGGGATAAACACAATTCCTTCCCTGTGTCCCGAGTAATCCAACGGAATTGCAGGGAGGAATAAGGTGCAACAGTTCCCCAAGGAGCAGAGCGAAAGTCTTGTTTTTAAAGCAAATGGAAAACTTATTTATTTGTATTTACTTCTGAGTGATGAATAAGACCACAAATTGAAAAGCTACAAAAAAGAATACATTGAAAAGCTGCCCTCCGGTCCCTTTCCTCTAGTCCTGTTTCTTTCTCTAAAAGCACTGACTGCTACCAATTCTTGGATGTCCTCCTAGAGTCTGTGCATATTAGGGCAGGTGTGTGTGTGTGTTTATTTTCCCTTTTACACAATAGGTATACACAAGAGAGAGTTCTCTGCAAGATGCTATCTTGACTTTACAATGTAACTTTGAAATACTGTCCTTTCTTACAAAGCTGGTTTATTTTTCAACAGCTCTGAAGTGTCCCAATAGTTGGACGTGTCATAATGTTTTTACACAATTGTCTGCTCAGTCTTTTGTTATTACAAGCAGTGCTGCCAGGAACAGTCTCATACATTTCATAAATGGACTATATCCTATATCTGCAGGATAAATTCCTAGATGTGGATGTACTGCGTCACAGGGTATGTACATTTTAGAGTTTGACAAATATTGCCAAATATCTATAGAGATGGCAATGATTTATAATATATTCCCACCAGCAATGTATGACACTGTCTGTTTCCCCACACGTTTTCCAACATAAGTTATCAAACCGCTTGAACTTATCAATTAATAGGTTAAAAAGGTACCTCGTTATAGGTTTAATTTACATTTTTCTTCATATTAATGCATTTAAGCACCTTTTTCATATGCTTAAGAGATACTTATACTTCCCTTTTTTTCTGTGAAAATATTCTTGGTCCACTTTTCTATTAGATTTAGTTTCCATTGTTGCATTTTAGGAGCTCTTCAAATGTCTGAGATATGAATTGCAAATATTTGTCTCTAGTTTGTTGTCTTTCTACTTTCTCCCATATTGAGTGTTTTGATTGGATCTGTTAGGAGGGTACTATGATTTCAGGTGGGGGATAATTGTTTCAGCTTGGGTAGGGTGGTACAGTGCTGCTATGCTGGAGGTGATAGTGTGGTAACAGCATCATTAGTGACAGAAGAAAAGAAAAGGTGTTAGGTTGATGAAAAGATGACTAGAAAGACTTGGGGGAGGGGAGAGAAGTGTCAAGGATGACTCTGATATCTGGTGTGTGTTATGGGGGGTACTTTACACTGTAAGAGAAAGGATAGTGAGAAAAGCCTGAGATTGTAAAGAAAATAAACATCACAAAGTTTGAGATGCAAGCCTACATTTTATAAATTAGATTCAACAGACACAAAGTTGCTCCCTTAAATTGGTATAATAGTTTCTAAACACTGCTCTTAACATCTTTACTTATGTTGTTTCAAATCAGTAACAATTTCGACTGAGCTGGTCCACCACCCACACTCCAGGCACTTTCTGGGGTCACAGAATCTTTGTATTATTACATAACATCCATAAACATTTATAGAACACTACATAAAAAGCTTTTATAGAGCACGAAGACCTAAGAAAACAGTGTCAAAGTCTAATCCCCAACAATATTGATCCAATCCACCTATGCATTATGTAAAGTTCTAACTGGAATTAAAATAACTCCGCAGCTGAATTAAAGTATATAAATACCTGTTTTTTTCAGGTGAGGCAGATTGGGAAATAGAAAAAGTTAGGGACTCACTTCAGGGTCTCGAGCGACATCTGTAAATTGTAATTGCGTTCCTGCTCAGGCAGCTTGGAGAACTCCACCAGACACGGGTGCTGCCTCTTATTGTCATCTCTAACCTGAAATGGGACAGGAAATCGGGATGTAATAATCTCCCAGGTCCGCACTCAGCAGAGCTGCCTCCATGATCGCTCAGGCACAGGTAATGTTTGAGGTCAGTGCTGAAACCTGGCATTATCTGGGCTCCTCTGCGCGGCACCGTTCCTGGCTCAGCATCTATGCTTACTCTACCCTGATACCCACATGCTCGCTCCCTTGGCAACTTCTAACATTTGCTGAAATCATACTCTCTCACTGAGGTTTATCCTGCCCACCTTCCCAGTCTGACAATCTGCTCACCCAGCCTACTCTTTGTGTGTGTGTGTCCATAACACTCACCACCTGCTAACAAGCTCAGTTCTTATTTGGTTACAGTCTGTCTCCCTGCACTCGCATGAAGACGACAGGACCAGACCTTTTAGTTTCTTCTGTTCCTTGATGCATCCCCAGCACTTAGAAAGTGCCTGGCACGTGGTGGACACTCCATGTTTTGTAAATTGACCTGAAATCTATGTAACGAGAGTACAGTGGTGACTCAGGCTTAATGTGTTATAATGTGTATGTGTTTATATAATGTGTATGTGTTTATATAATGTGTATGAGCCACACTGATGAGAGCCCTCATTTATCAACAGACTGGCTGATATAAACTTGGAGGTGGTGCCAGGTCTTCGTTTCACCCACGTCGGTGCCTTCCTGCTGTCACCCACTGTCACCAGTCATTCCACTACCTTAGCAAGTCAGGAGCATAAAACAGGTGTGTTTCCTACGACTCCTTCAAAGTGTGTATTAGCAATCAGACTTAACTCAGTTCAAGATTTTGGGATGAATTAATGAGAAAGATGTCCTGTATCATTGCATTAGTAATTAGGTTTTTTATCTTCTTAGGGACCTAAATTACAGAGGCATTACTGCTGTGGTGGCACCTAGATGACAGGCATATGCTGTCAGGAAACAAATTACTCCATGGGAATAATTACCAGGTGCTATAAATGCCACATGAAAGTATGCAAACACAAGCAAGAATGTTTTCTAAAGTCTTCAGGAGTCACCAAGTGAAAACTGAGATATTTATTCTTTTCTTTCTGGTGACTATTACAAATGAACAGGACTTACACAAGAGCATATATTATATATATACTTATTTAAATGTGTAACTCTGAAAATGAAATCTACAGTTATAAAATTTAATGCTAAATTCTAAATGTGCAAGTGAAAATGAACCGAAGTAAAAGGGATCAAATATATGGTGATGTAAGGAGAGCTGACTCTGGGTGGTGAACACACAATATGATATTTAGATGATGTATTACAGAATTGTACACCTGAAACCTATGGAACTTTACTAGCCATTGTCACCCCCCAATAAAGTTTACTTTAAAAAAATAAAGTGAACGTGTCCCAGTCCTGAGATCAGCTACCCCTATTTATGCAATCCCCACTCCCTGTCCATTCTCTACATCAGAGAACGACCACCATCCCCTCGGGTGTCCACACCAGAACCAGAGGCCAGCCCAGACTCGCCCACCCTGTGCCTTACCCATGTCCCATAAGCAGACTCCAAAACAGCTCCAGCAGTCACATCTCTCCATCCCTACCCGGCAAGCACCCCCTCTCACCTGGGCCACCTGCATCCCCTCCCTGGGTCTCTGCCTCCTCCAGGCTCACTTTCCTCCACACCAATATCAGAGCTTCTTTTCAAAGCACAGTTAAGCATGCTGCCTCCCTCCTAAACATCTTTCAGTGTTCTTTGCTCCCCAACAGAATCAAACCCTGTTCTGCCACAAGCCCATTGGGACACGCTTCTTATCCACCTGACCAGACCTCCCATCTCTACCCCTCTCACTTTTTTCTTTATCCCCCGGCAATGCCGAGCTACTGAAAGATCACTGCAATGTCACGCTCCTTCCACCTCCATGCATGTACACATGCCAGGTCCTCTACCCAGAACACTCACCTGCTCCCAGGTTACTAGTCAACATGTAAAACTCATCCCTCAGGACTCATAGGAAATATTTACCTCCTCCTGGAAGCCTTCCCTGATTTCCCAGGAGAGGCCTAAATACTCTTTCTTCACTCTGTTAGCACCTCTGTTGTGGGAATGTAGCTTGTAACTGTTTGCATGTCTATCACTCAACTGAACTAGAAGCTCCAAAAAGGCTGAAAGTCAAAGTCTTTTAGCCTTTGAGACCCCCGTACCAAACACAAGGCCAGGCAAATAGGGGGCATATGACAAACGTTAAAGGGACAGATGTATGCCTGTGTGAATCTACCTGAGGCTACTCTGTGAAATAGAGCTCTTACATGATGGCCTGTGAAATATGTCCCAAAGGCATTCTTTGGGCAGGTTGGGGGGGGG